TCCTCTCTTCGACCGGTAAGAATTTTAAACTATTTTTTTCTATACTACTTGGGTTAATATGCTTAATTTTTACAACCTCCAATAGCGCTTCCTTCACTTCCTCGCGGGCTTCCGTCCCGAGCTCTGATATCCCGCCTTCATCATGCCCGTTCTTGAGTTTCCCGAGCAGTTGGGACACTTCGGCGTGTACGTTTCGGGCTTTCCGCAGAGATAGCAGAATACTCTGCGTTCCTTGGCCATACACTCTCGAAACCCGTGGCCAACTTCTCCGCAATTCCAGCAGCCCAGCCTCGGCTTCGCTGTCAGGTGGGTTTCCTCAACCATCACCTCTTCCTCTCCTTCCAACAGCTCCTCCGACTCTGGCTCGATCTCCTCCACTCGCTTACCGGATTGTTGGAACTTCAGCGTCGGGCGAAAAGCTGACCTTCGCTCGCGTCTGCGGAANTTGGGACACTTCGGCGTGTACGTTTCGGGCCTTCCGCAGAGATAGCAGAATACTCTGCGTTCCTTGGCCATACACTCTCGAAACCCGTGGCCAACTTCTCCGCAATTCCAGCAGCCCAGCCTCGGCTTCGCTGTCAGGTGGGTTTCCTCAACCATCACCTCTTCCTCTCCTTCCAACAGCTCCTCCGACTCTGGCTCGATCTCCTCCACTCGCTTACCGGATTGTTGGAACTTCAGCGTCGGGCGAAAAGCTGACCTTCGCTCGCGTCTGCGGAAAAGGTGCTCCACCTCTACACACTCTTCCCTCAGCTGCTCCAGGTTCCGGACTCGGATCGCGTACACATAACGAGCGATCTCCTCCTCGAGTCCCTTCTTGACGACTCTGACCATCTCAGAATCTGCTATTGGGGTGATCAGTCTTGCAGCTAGCTTCCGCATCGCTCGAAAGTAATCTTCCACCGATTCTCCAGGTTCTTGCCGTCGCTCATTCAACGCACGCAGCCGCTCGTATTGCCCACCTACTGCACGGAATCGGGATACCAGCTCGTCCTTTAAGTCCTCCCAGACTTCTGGAGGCCTCTCTCTTACAAACTGCCAGTACCACTCGGCAGCACGTCCTCTCACCAGATGGTGAAAATTATCAAGGACTTCGTCCCACGAGCGTCGACTCTGCCTCTGGAGAAATTCGACCCGAAAGACAAAATCCTCCACCGTCAGTTTGGCCGGGTCTGGGTCGCCGTCGAAATGGATGTCCCATTTGTCGACGCGTCCCCATCTCGGCTCTCTCCACTCGTCTCGCCTCTCGTAGGGCGTCGTGTATCGCCGAACTCCGCCGTCTCCTGCTGGTTCACGTTCAGGTACCATCGGTCTCGTTTCCAGGTCGCCATCTTCCACCCTGCGTGACCAATATTGGCTCAGTCTCTCCGGCTTCCTCGGAGGCGCTTGTGGAATATGCTCCTGTTGTTCCACGGAACCTTTGGGTCGGGTGCCGGTACTCTGTCTTCGCCATTCTGGAGCCTTCGCACCGCCTTCTCTGCCATTCGGACCATCCTCCCAGCCCAGATCCTGGATCAGCTCTCCCTTCTGGCGCAGGGG